CAGTAACCTAATCCAAGTATTACAATATTGTAGTAACATAACTTAATTACTTTCAGTTACTTTTTGGATTACCCCAACACTAAATATGCAAATGAGAGAGAATGAAATAAGATTTGTTTTTTTTAAAGAAATACTGATGCATTTTAAAATGGAATATAACTGTAATCTGATGATGTTGTTGTCCCTGTAACTGTAATGGTTAGCTTTTATACAGATAGAACCAACACAAAATTATACAAATGGTTTAACAAAAGAAGTAAAAAATCGTTTAACTAAATAACATTATTTTCTTATTTCAAAGGTTGTTTACAGTTTTAAATTATCTACATTTTGTACACATTAAATGAAGATTTCTAACAAATGGTTATTAAAAAGTTGAAATATAAAATATATAAATTGGGGAGGCCTTGGTTCTGCCTACACTAATTACAATGATAAGAAGTGATGAATATCAGTGATTTATAATATCTTCTAAATCATTTTTAATTGTATATATTATAAATAGAAGGTGAACTGGCCTTCACACTGATCTGACCATGTCGGCACTGGATGACCTTTTACACACACACGCATACAGTAACAAACAAACAGCCAGGTTCATTCTCACGCGCGATGTGGAAAGGAAATGTGTTGTTATTGGAGCATATCACTAGATAGACTGATCAGCAGTATTACTCCACTCACACACATCTGTAATTTCCATGACCAGTGAACCCTGGCTGACAAGCTGTCAGTGGAGCAGGAGAAAAAAAAAGACATCTTACAATCCACCAGTGTGTGTGTATCTGTATGGAGTCTGTGTATATGAGCACTCCTATGAAAACATGATTCCTTCTCAAATCTTCAACCTGGGGATCATCGTGGTGTGTGTGTGTGTGGCTGCATATGTATTCACTGCAACAGCAACACGCACTGTAATTGTATGAAAACAGGAGGGTAGAAGTTCCTCGGCTGCATGAAAAACTGCAAAGTGCTTATTTTCCATTTTTCCACTCTACTTCCTGCTGAGTGTTTCATCACCTCTGGGAAAACAAACTCCACATTTCTTGTAAGTTGTCCTGTCTTCGTCCTTTCATAACTGTTTGCTCTTTCCCCACCTCATAGCCAAGATGATATTCATATGGAAGTAAGCCCACTTGAATAACTTCCTCCCAGGAAACAGAGCAGTACCTGAATAGTTTAGTGTTAAAGGTTTGCCTTCACACAATAAACTTGATGTTTGAAAGCCTAATTTTATTGAAGCTAGACGGCAGCAAGAGGTAACTCTGGGAAATATGACTTCATTATTCAGTGAGTAACGTCGCTAAAGCAAATGTGGTTGGTTTTGTTG